GGGAGGTGTTCCGGGCATGTCCCACCAGGAGGAGCCCTCAGGGAAGACCCAGGACATGCTGGAGGGACTACGTCTCCCGGCATTCCCCAGGAGGAGCTGGAGGAAGTGTCTAGGGAGAGGGAAGTCTGTGCATCTTTGCTTAGACTGCTGCCCCCGCGACCCGGTCCCGGATAAGCGGAGGAAAATGGATGGATAGATGGATGAAGAAACACATTGGCATTATTCTAGACTGCATGAGAGTTCATTTGGTCTTTAAAATACTTCCTCATGGTTGATTTTAAAAAACACTGAAAAAATCAACTGGACTTTCATTTCTCTTTCTCCTCCATTGCCTCCACTGTTGCCCTCTTCCTTTTGTTTCTTTCACCGCATTCCCATCTCTTCATTCTCTCTGTCTCACCCACCCTCCCTCTTCCATTTTTCTCTCCCGCTCCTGTAGTTTCAGCGACAAGCTCCAAGCGATGGTGCACCGCCTCGCCCCTAACTGTAGCATCACCTTCCTCGTCTCGGAGGACGGCAGCGGGAAGGGCGCTGCCATGGTAACAGCTGTGGCTCAGCGGCAGGCACTGTCCCACCTGTTAGAGGACAGTGACAGTGACCGTAAAGAGGATGAGGAGGAGGATAAATAAGTGTAGAGACATTTGGGCGCAGAGCAAGTAGACGATTAGCCTGTGAACACAAAGAAGCATAAAATCAAATTTAGCTTTTAAATACTGCTATATTTTTATACAGCTACTTTTGCTAAAACTGTGCAGAAGATAAAGTACTCAGATTTTTTACTTCAGTAAAAGTAGCAATACCACAGTGTAGAAGTACTCTTGGAAGTGCATTCAAAGCTTTACTTCACTACAAAATCCAAGATGAGTATTCACTTTGCAATTTAAGGTTTTTGGTAAAATAAGTACACAATAAACTAAACAACCAACTGTGACGACAGGCATTTACAGCGAACCCCACCTTGAACAATGACACTGCATTCAGTCAACCATAATGGTTTGTTAAAGTGATGGAAGAAGTGAAAGAACCAATGTAGAAGTACTCTTTTACAAGTAAAATAATACATTTCTGAATAATAATGTATGAATGTGTTCATTGCTGCTGTAGCTGGTAAAGCTGTGGCTAGTTTTCATTACTCCACATCCTGGAGGTGCAGATTTAGACTTCACCTGATCACTTTATAGAAATATTAAATAGGTAATACTTCACTTCCAGTAACTAGAACATAAATGTGCTATTATGTTACATAAATCTAATAACATGAGGCTCACATTGATTGATTGATTGATTGATTTTATTCTTTCAAGCATGTAAAGACAGTCGATATGTCAACACACATAATTTCACACATATCCAACAAATGCTAATCCATTATCAATTTGCTTATACCTAGTACATGCTTGAACGGAGTAGGAAGAAGTTAGACTTATCTAGTCCTACCCCATAACATCATCTTACCATCATTGGTTTGCAAGCAGTATCTCTACATAGAAAATTTTGTTCTACACCACGCTAGTGATATACTAAAAAATATTACAGACTGTTAACATTCTTACATAATTACATACTTTGATAATTATCTTCTACATCACACAAGTAAAAATATTACATAGTGTTAACATTCTTACACCACACCCACAATATTACACCTGATTAATCGTTAAACCTGTTCTTGCATATATCTTGATTGACACATACCTTTATATTTATGTTTAAACTCATCAATTCTATTACTATTTTTTATGTCCACACTTATATATACATTTATTTTTTTACTCAGTTTGGTATTATTAACATTAAACTGCAAATTAACACAAGATCAAAGTATGTAGTGCAGTAAAAGGTGCAGTATTTGTCTGTGAACTGTAGTAGAGTAGAAGTGTGATCTAGCCAAAAACGTGCCACGCAACTGCACTTTGTCTCGGTAGAGTACTTCAGTATATGTCCTTAGTTACTTTCCACCACTGTGTATTAATAAGTATTGCTCTTTCACAAAAAACCACTGAAGTTTCCCTTTTCACTTTGTTACAAAAACTGTAATGTGATATTTTTATAAATATTTGACATGTAGTTACACTCTGGAGCTAAAATTACATATGGATGTTAAAATAATTTTTATTTAAAATTATTTCCTGTAAATGAAACAGATTGACAGGAAAACGAGTCACCTCATCACAAAATTTAATAAATGAAACTAATAATTTGCAGGTTATATATTGATTTTGTATGCTGAATAAAGGTTTGACTGACCAGTGTTTGTTTAAAAGCTCATTTAATTTACACGTTAGATTGTTCTTAAATTACATTTTCATCATCACATCATTTATCTATTTTCCATCAATCATCTGAATTTACACTGATTATTGACAGGGAATGACTTCCAGTGTTTTTAAGCCAAGATTTTCAAGATTTCATGTTCTCTTTTTATTGCATTTTTAAGCCTTTGTCACTGTTTTGCATCTATGTTTTCTTGTTTTGTGGTAATTTACTTTCTCTCACAGTCCTCTGACCCAAGGGTCCCTCAGGCCCCTGGGCCTGTGCCCAGTAGGCCCATTCAGTGATCCATTCATGGTTACTGGTATAAACAGCAGACAGACAGGTCATTTGAGTGGAGCTGTTGCAGTACATGGTGTTTGTGGTGAAGCCTGTGCTGCCATGTCGCTGCAGCACTCGCTGATGCACAGAGGACAAACCTGAGCTGCAGCCTGAAGCCTGTCTGTCTCTCACTTCCGTGTTGCTGCAGCCCAGTGGTTTGGGGATGAAAGTCAAGAGCCTTCCCGGCTGCTTGGCTCTGTATGGCCGTTTGTTATTGATCTATATTTATTGATGCCTCAGCACACTCATCAGGTGAGATATGCCTAGAAGAATAATAGCCAGCTGCTGCAAATTAGAAGCATATAGATTTCAGGAAGCATATAGATTTCAGGAGACGGTGAGTAGGCCAAGCCAGCAGTATCCGATGAACCCACCTAGATTCTTCAGCCCTTTAATGAGTTTTATTCTGATGTTTTATGCCTTTATTACATTTCTTATTTTCTCTTTTATGTTTAGTTTTTTATTATTTCCCCTGTGTTCTGTTTGTTTATAACTGTCAAGTTGTTTATTGAGCTCTTCTGATTGTAAAGCACTTCGGTCACCATTTGTTGTTTTTACACGTGGTCTATAAAGAAAATGACTTGGTCCATGATGCCAGAATGTGAACTTGTCATTTATTTAATGGTATGGGTCATGTACCAGTAAAATACTACTGGCACTTAAATGTACTGTTGATACAGTGGAAAAAAGTAGGAATAGTAAAGGAAGAATTGGGCATTTTAGAGGAGAAATACTACACAGAGTACTACAAATAAAAAGTTCCCTTCCTAAGACACAGCTCAGTTTTTTAGAGCCATTCTTCCATTAATACTGTGTCCATCACTTTAATGCTGCAGCTGGTAAAGGTGGAGCTGATGTTAACTACCTTATATACTTATACTGTGAAGTACTTTCCATCCTACTGGGTAGCTGGTGGATTTCCCACTGGGACCAATAGAGTCTGATGATTCTACTGGGTTTGGTTTGATTCTTCTGATTCTGGAAAGTAACTGAAGTTATCAGATACATGTAGTGCAGTAAAAAGTACACGGTTTGTCTCTGACATGAAGTCACAGTATGAAGTAACAGGACATGGAAATACTCAGTACAGATAGTTCAAAATTGTACTTACAGTAGTTGAGGAACTTTCCACCATGACAGTAAATACCTTATGCTGATAATACTTCACTGCTTTAACTTGTGTAATATTTTAAATGTAGGACTAATACTTGCACTGCAGTATTTTTTATCATATTGGTACTTTTATTGAACTGAAGTCGAGTCGGGGGATTGTGTTTACTGAGGGTTTAGTAGGAATGAATGAGAAACTATGAAGTGAAAGGGGAGTGTTTTCAGCTTTCAGGTACTTGTACTTCACTTGAGTATTTCCAATTTTTTACTACTTCATGCTTCTACTTTGACACAATTCAGAAGGAAATACCGATTATATTGATTTGACAGCTGGAGTTCTTTGCTGACAAACAGTACATGTGAGTATACTACAAAATAAGGTGCCATTAAGTTTGAATACTCAATAGTACATAGAGTATTTCAGTGAGCTCCACTTCAGCCAGCTGCAATATTAAAATGCTGCTTACACATTTATACATGACTAATTATAACAATCCAATAATACAATAAATATTTAGATCATTTGGTTGACCGTACTTCTGACTTAAGTACAACTGTGACTTTTACTTACAGTGTCGTGTTACTACTTTTATTTAAGCATTTGAGTACTTGTTTCACTGCCATGTACCGGCCTGAAATCCACCTTAACAACAGCTGACATGGCTCCTTTTGTTTCCCACAAGTCTATGTTTATTTTACCTGTGACAGAATCAATGCAGCAGGAGGCGGGAGGCATTACTGCTGATTTCCACAGGCATAAAGCCTGATCTGAGGCCTGCTACTACATGAAGGTGGTGTTGGAGGCCGGAGGAAGTTCACTTCAACCTTGTGGAAGTTTGAACAGACACGTGCTTCCTCCCCCTGCTGGAGACGGCTGGCAACAGCAGGTTATACACATTCCCAGCAGGATGTGTGTCCTGTCTGCATTCATGGTCGTTTGCCCAGTCAGGCCTGAGAAGCTGCACTTACATGTCATCAGAACATGAGCACTGGTGTGGCTAGGACCCTGTTTAGCAGTTATGAATTCTGTCAGTAACACACTATAACACACTGTAGCTGGAAGCTGCAGTGTGTTATTAGTGTTTCTGTCACTGTGAGGTCGCCATCAGTGCCGGTGTACACACAGACAGTTAAAGTTAGTGGAGTGAAACAAAGCTGGAACACCAGGTCTGATTAGAGTGTCCTTATATTGTTAACTTATTGAAGCTTTAAGTAGCTTTTCATACATTTCTTTATTTTGGTGTGCTGTGATTTTGCTAATTATTGCTGTTTCTACCAAAAACCTGACCTTCTCTCAGGATCCATAAAGTATCTATCTATCTATCTAAACTGCAGTCATCATTATTAGGTGATTTTATATGGATACCACAGGCACAGGTCCAGGACCCTGGGACCAAAACCATGTATGAAATGATTTCACATATTTCTTTATACACAGTCAATAAATGAGCACAAACAGACATGACAGCAAATAGACAAAAAAGATCAACACAGACACAAAATGACCAAAAAAAATGACGAAAACAATCACAAAAGGACAAAAAAATGACCAAAAATACACACAGTGATCATTCCATTGTCTGTCTGGATCGTTTACTGCCTGTTTATACTGCTTAGTTTGTTGCTTGTTAATACTGCTTAGTTTGTTAAACTAGCCTTATGCTGCTTTACTGTTTACTTGCCCCTTGCATGGGGATATGTACATACACATTGAGAGCAGATGTACCAGAGTCAAATTCCTCATGTGTCAGACACAAAATGACAACAAACAGACTCAAAACAAACAAAAATAATTTTGCCAGTCTGTCAGCTGGGGGTCTTGCCTGCGTATTGGAGAGTGGAGGGTCCCTTTACGTTTGTGGCCAGGGGCCCCGTTATGTCTCCATGGCTGTGGGACAGTTGGAATTAGAAATGCCAGTATATTTAATACTAAAACATTTAAAGTTGTTTATTCATTTATTATGCTGCATAAATAATGTGACTATTAATGATTGATTTGAAATTTGTACTTGTTTCCCAAACTGCACGCCTTCTGTTACTCTGTCCCAGTTTGCACACATCGAGGAACAAGGTGGGCAGGAGATAGGACCACACCAACCACCTTGTCAGTGTGCACACAGACAGGAGGGACTGTTGAAAAGCAGGAACCTCTTAAGATCTGCTTTTGTTTTAAGGCGTAAAGCTACAGAAATCAGTCCCTGACTGTTGCGTCTGCTCCTCTGGCCACACCTGCACCAGTGTTTAAAAGGCCTGACTGCTCAGGGAGAATACAAGTATTTAAAGGAGCACCCCCTGGCTCAGCCATGGTGGTCTCAGCTTTTTAACATCACCACTGCAGGAGTAGTTGTGAGCAGGCATTTCCTGGCAGCAGTACAGAAAACAGGGATGTGATAGGCCAGGCATTTACTGTCACATTTCTAACACACAAAGACAAATAGATGAACTGAGACAAACCACTGTAACATTAAATTCAAAAGCCCCCAGCTTTCCTCAGGGAACAGGAACCTTTTGCGGAACTTAGTTCCTCTACTGGCGTTTCCACCAGCACTTTACACGTGACATTTTTAAAATCGTCACACTTCTGATCAGATATGTCAGGAGGTTAATTTGTCTGATCTTCTCGGGGCTTTGGCCCCTGCGGTGGAGATCCACATCACCTGAGGACTTTTACCCCAGGGACAGCTCTTGGACTTCAGCTCATGGGTACCAGGAGCTTTCCAGTGGAAAGGGATCTAAAATAAAGCTGCAATGCAAACTTCCTTCCTTTACTAAATCTAGAGCTGTGATGTTAAGGTTACAATCAGACTATTACACAAACCTTTCTTCTTATTGACCAGCAACACACTTGAACTTCAGTATTTTCATTTTTTTTTTTTTTTTGCTAGTTTCTACTCTTACTCCACCACTGTATAGGCCTTTATCAGAGCCACATATTGAATATACTTTTTACTGCATCACATTTATCTGCTTAGGCCTACTTTGATTATTTCTTTTAATACTACAAAATGTAACTAATAAATAAATGATGCGTTAATATAAGTTTAGGCTTGACAGAAATTCAACGCCACCCAGCAGCGTATTAACATTAGCTCCACCCTGATCTGTAACATAAAAGTGAAGAAGAGTGCAGACATCTGCGTAATAAGCATTGGACCTTTACTTCTGGTACTGTAACTACGCTCTGATATCAGTGATTCTGTACGTCTTACTTACAACACAGTATCTCTACACTGTGGTACTGCTACTTTACCGTAGTAAAATATCTGTAGTACTTCTTCCACCGCTGCTCGCGGCTAAACCCCGCCCTCGTATTCCGTTTCAGTCGGAAATACGTCACATTATCGAGGCTGAAGATGCTACAACTGCCGATTCTCGGTGACTTCAACGTTAAGTTGGAGTCTGTGGCAAACTTTGGCCACACCTAGATCCTGTCCTATTTCCACAAAAAAGGCTTTTAATTTTTTTTTTTTTTCTTCCCTTCTCTGGTGCGTTTGTTTGTGTGACGGCGAGTCCCGGCGGTGTAACCCGAGAGGGGCCTCACAGAGGGAATGCAGGACTGCAATGGAGCACAATGCAATCCAGGTAAAGCCGATATAATTTCCACATAAATGCCGTTTTGTGCCGCTTCCAGCCGGCGGGTTTGTTACCTGTTGATGGGGGAAATATTCGAGTCGTGTGTCGCAGTGAATCGCAGCCAGATTCCGGGTTTTATTTCATTTATTTGGCCATGTCGTATTGATTGTTTTCCCATATCAGCACGGAGAGTTGCTCTGACTGCAATTACAACTTTATTCAACCAGCCCCAACTTTTTTCCTCGTCCAAGAGGTGGAAATGCGGCGCAGATATTTTGTATTTTCAGGGGGAATAACCGGCGGTGACCCGGGGCAGGCGGCTCCGTTCACACCGGACACTCCGCCGTTTAATTCCACTTTATTATTTCTGATATTTTCGCCGTGTTAATGATTAATTTCTTTGTGTGTCGTGTCGACAGCTTCTCCTCCGGCTACCAACCCCCACCCGCAGTAACAGCACATTTTAGCCAATAAAATAAAATTTCCTGCCGTTTGCTTGCTTGAAAATATCAGCAAACTTTTAAGCTGCTCCACCTTTTCAACGAAAAGATCGACATTTTTCATTTTGGACCACAGACAGTCAGAATACATTTTCAGCCCGACGTGATATTAAAGAAATATTTTTCGACAGGGACTAGGTGGAGCATCAAGAGTGTTGCTTGTAATAGGAAGTATATTGATATTATTATCAAATCCTCCCCGACATTTTGTCTCCGGCGTAATTACCACAGTTTAAGGAGGAATGTGAATATTGTGTGCGAAAGGTAAATGTGGAGTTTGTGGACTTGATAACCAGGAATACTCGCGCAAAGACACAGGAAACAGTCGAAATAAAAACGAGCAGACATTTATTTGGACAGACATCCTCCGTGTGTGGCCGGCAGTAATCCACTGATTGTATATTTTTTTTAATAATATCTCAGTTTAAATATTAATTTATCGTAGCATTAAGGGTTTGTCCCCAAGTGGTGAACTTGTGATCTTTGTGAATAGCAGGATATCCTCAAGGTCAGCACTGTAGGCTGCTTTTATTTATTTATTGTCCAAAGCAGGAGACATTTTATTATTAATATTCGTCGCAGGGTTTTGTGTGTGTGTGTGTGTCTCTTCCTTCCCCTCCTGAAAACTGTGTTTAAAAAAAAACTCTGCATTATTACCAGAAATATCACGAGAACTGACGTAGGCTGGTGCAGATTAAGGGTTTCCATCTTAAATTCTTGTGTGTTTCAGACACAGGCTGCACATTATATTATGTGGCTTTATTTTCCTGCCTCGTTTCCACCACTAGGCTGGAGCACTGCTTCAGCGGCCCCCCTCCCCCCCAGGGCCACAAAAAGAAAAGGCACGTAATAAGCCTGACTGGAGCTCTGTGATATTCTACTGCTGTGGTAGATAATAGTATGTTTATCCTGCTGTTTACCAGATATTCTCACTGTAATTAACTTACTCTGATATTCATTCCTGGCTTAACTGTGAATTCATTTTACTTTGTTGTAACCTTTTTCTGCTCATTTACTTTAAATATCTGAAAGTCACCAGACACGACAGCAAAAGCAAAAGCAAAATGTGCTGGTTCCTCTGGATCCAGCTGTCAAATGGGAGCTAATAACTGGATTTATCTTACTTTTTGGGGGTTGATTCATCACAAACACAACATAAATGGGCAGTGCACAGTTCTCTGGATCAGCTGTCGGGTGTAACTTAGATGGTGGATTTATTTGATTTATTATTTTTTATTTGATTTTCTGCTGATGTACCCATAATATCTGCAGTTCAAATTTATCTGCGGTGATTTTGAGGGTTGGTTTATGATTTTGTGGTGCCAGTACGCTACATATGAGCTAATTTGTCTTACTTTGTTGTACTTGTTTCCTATGAATAGCCACAGGTCAATGCATTAATTGATTACTTAGTGGACACTATAAACTGGACGCACATTTATAACCAATTCATCTTTTTCCTTTAGCACAAATGTCCAATTACTCTGGTTCTCTCAGCTAAATAGGTGGAGTTATCCATGTTTCCTGCTTATACACATATAACTAACTAGACCTCAAAGGTTTTAATTGATTAGCTGATCATCAGACAATAAACAAACTGATTTTAATAATTGGTTTATAATTTAGACCCTGATTTTGTGGTTTCAGCAGGTCAAATATGAGCTAAGTAGAGGATTTATTTTTCTTTGTTCTATCAGTTTTTGTGCCCATAGAATCATAAATAACTAAAACTAATTATTTATTGATCACTCAGTGGCCACTACATAAATTAGCAGCACTTTTATCATCATTTTTGTGCAAAACTGCACAATATTTTCTGCTCTTGGCTGTTAAATGTGAACTAAGAGGATTTTGTCCTAATCTTTTTTCCTTGATCCTACTGCTGACGTACCTACAGTATAACCACAGCTCGGAGGATTCATTGATTACTTATTGGAGACAGCGTAAATTGGCAGCACTTTCATAAGGATTCATCATTTTTTCAGCACAAATGTGCATATTTCTCTGGTCAGACTGTCAGATATGAGCTAAATGGTGAGTTGTTGATTTACCTGCATTTATACCTATAAATAACCAGACAAATCATTTATTGATCATATTATTGATTTTGATAATAGACTAATTGTTTCAAACTAAATGCAGACAGTTCTCCAGCTGTTAAATGTGAGCACAACAGTGACTTTGTGTTACTCTTGTATTGTTTCCCCTTGTTTTTCTGCCCATACAACTATAAATAACTTAAACTCACAGGGTTTATTGATCACCCGATGGATATAAGATAAATTGGCAGCACACAGTTCTCAGTGGATTTGTTTTACTTGGTATTATATTCCCCCTGACCTTGCTGCTGACACACAAATAGCAAAAGCTCTGAAATGTAATTGGTTAGTTGATCAGCAGACAGTTTGTCTGCACTGATCTAAAATCTTGGCTCATTTTGTGGTTTCAGCAGGTCAAATATGAAATAAATAGTGAATTTTTCTCACTTTGTTGGATCATTTTCTGCCCATACACTATAACTAACATAAACTCAGAGGATTTATTGATCACTCTGTAGACACAACACAAATTGGCAGCACTTTGATAATTTTTTCAGTTTCCAGTTGTCAAATGTGAACTAGATAATGAAATTTGTCTTATGTTGTTGTATTATTTTACCTTGTTTGTCTTACCCTTAAACATATACTATTGATAATCAATTGATCATTTTACATATTCTTTAGTTACAACTTGTCCTGGTTTTCTCCATTTAGTATTATAATAATATTGCCCTGATACTCCTGTGGTGGGTAATAATGTACCTATACAGCTCCATTGTATCTGATCCTTTCTCCTCCTCTTGTCCAGATCACAATCCAAAAAAATGGGGTTAACATTCACATAATAGTTAATTCGTAACAGATACTGTTTTTTTTTTTTTTAATCTGACATTTTCTCTTCCTGTGCTCTCTGGTATCATGTTATTTCTGGAGCAGTTCCCAGAGAATTGCAGAGATTTTTATCTGTTGTTTTTCCCAAATTATTTAAAAAATCTCTGATATTGCCGTGGTGGGTAACATCGTGCCTGTGGTGCTGCAGACACTGGTTTATTTTGCTCTTTCTCTGTCTTGTTCCTACTCATAGACTTAAAAATAACTGTTTAATATTGATTTATGACTTGTCAATAATGCTCGCTGATTATACACAATTAATTTAGTTCCTGTATTCATCATAATAAATCCATAAACAGTGTAATACTACTTTAACGTTTCTCTAAAGGTTTTAGTAATCAATACTTTATCTGACTTTTATTAAAATTTATAACACATCTCTAGAGACTAACAGTGTCTGTGGAGGTCCACCGCAGTTTTATCTTTATTTTATCCATGGTCATGTAATATGGTCAATATTTTTATAATATCGATTTAATTTGCCATAATGTGTTTCTAGCACTAAGTACTGTCCCGAGGTGACATTGACATGTCCTTCCTCTTATGGGTTCAAGTACAATAATCACTAAATACATCTACTGTATATTACTGTCAGGGCCCACAGTCGGCAGGAGGACCTTACATGACTTTATGGTAAGCCGTTCTTTAAATGTAGGCCATCTATAATGTTCTGTAACACAAAATAATCTTGAATTAGCAACGACTGTTTTGTCAATAGCGCTCGACGTCATACTGTTCCTGCATCATCATGGTCCTTGTTGTGTCGAGCTTAATAATCAATGAAATCATCTGTAAACACGTCTCTAGGGGGTTGTAGTACTTCTTCTGATTTTACAGTTTTATTCATGCTACTGTAATATTCAAATATTTATACTGTTTTGTTCTTTCTTGTTCCTTCTCTAATGCTTATAAATAACAGTTTAATGTGCTCATATATACAGTTATATTCAGTGTCTAGCTGGTATTTTGTCAGTAACACTCAGTCGTGTCTTGACCAGAGGTGGGCAGTATTTTTCTATCAGAAATCTGCCCCAGCGTCAGGGGCCACACCCGTGTAGTTAAAAATGCCTGGAGTGCTTTGGTAGTGGTAGATATTGGGCCCTGCTTAGAAAAACACATCAGGCAGAATGAGATTACTTTGTTTTTACATCAAACCTGTAAACCTACTCATTCAAGGACGTACGTTCTGAACAAAGAAGTTAAATGAAGTTAAGACATGTAGAGACGCAGTTACCCTGCCACAGTCACTTACTGCAGTTAATGGATTTTAAGTGTAGTTGGCGTTTTAACAGAGAAAATCATTTTCCAATCCGTTTTAGAAAAAAAAAAAAATTCTGAGCAGAACAGTCAATTTGAGGAAACAAATTTCTACCCAAGTCATTCATGTGTCTGTCTTAATACAGAAGCACAGGTTACATCTGTAGTGATTACCCATCACTGTGCGCTGTGAACAAGTGCACAAGTCAGCATTGTGACAGAAATGCATACCTGAAAAATGGCACCATGGTAATCAATCACACCATTTTACTGGCTGCTTCGATTAGATATCCACACAAAGTTGGCTGTCCTGCATTCAGCA